ACTTTGTTTCTTTGTCTTTATTTCTTTCATTCTCTTGTCACCACCAAGCATTGGGGATACCCACGAGCTGTGTAGGGACTGGCCCCATAGAATAATCTGAAGTCATGTCACAATTTTTCCCAAAGCCAAACCTGACTATAGTTCTTTGCCCCTGAAAATTTGAAGGTTTCAAGTGCCTGTGTTGTCTTAAGAGCACCAAAAAATGGTTCGCCCAAAGATCACCAGCCACATTCTGCCAGATATTCGGGAGAGCCATCACTAGGGACAGGAGGCTGGACTCAGAGTCATGCTTGATGCAGTTTGCTTCCATGATTAGGCACGAGAAACACTGAACCAACTGCCTTTATCCAAGCAATGCTGCAGCCATTCCCAGTGTTCTTTACATATTCCTTAGGTTTTCTGCTTCTTAGTTTTTTTGTTTATGCCTTCATCTGTATCTTGACTATTCTTTTGTATCCTCTTGGATTAAGTGAATCCTCCCTACCTTTGACAGTACATTTAAAATCTCTGCTTCCATGAAGATTGTCTTTATCATGGTAGATAGCGGTGATCTATTTCATCTGTGAGCTCAAACAATTCCTACTGCTTATTATACCAACCACTTCCTGTGGTGCTTCATTCATTCAATAGTTTGTGCCAGGCATGGTGGCTTATGCCTGTAATTCTAGCACTCTGGGGGGCTGAGGCAGGTGGATTGCTTATGCTCAGGAGTTGGAGACTGGCCTGAGCAAGAGAGAGATCCTGTCTCTACTAAAAAAAAAAAAAAAAAAAAAAAAAAAAACTAGCTGAGTATTGTGGTGAGTGACTGTACTCCCAGCTATTTATGAGGCTGAGGCAGGAGGAGCACTTGAACTCAGGAGTTTGAGGTTGCTGTGAACTATGATGATTCCTTGGGACTCTACCCAGTGTGACAGAGTGAGACCCTATCTCAACCCCCCTACCCCCCAAAATCGTTTGTCAGAGCAAGGCATGTGTAACATCTGCCTCACCAGGTAGCAAGGTTCTAAAGAGATTTATCCCCCTTTTCTTTGTTTTTAGAGACAAGGTCTTGCTCTGTTGCCTGTGCTAGCATGCAGTGCCCCAATCCTGTCTATGACTTCAAACTCCTGCCTTAGTCACCCAAGTAGTTGGGACTACAGGCACATATCACCATGCCCTGCTAAGTTTTAATTTTTTTCTTTTTTGAGACAGAGTCTCACTATGTCACCCTCAGTAGAGTGCTATGGCATCACAGCTCATACCAACTTCATACTCTTGGGCTTAAGCAATTCTTTTGCCTCAGCCTCTCAAGTAGCTGGGAATACAGGTGCCTGTCACAAAGCATTGCTATTTTTTTGTTGGAGTTGTCATTGTTGTTTAGCAGGCCCAGGCCAGGATTGAACCTGCCAGTCTTGGTATATGTGGCTGGCCCCCTAACCACAGAGCATGGGTGCTGAGCCAAGTTTTTAATTTTTTATAGAGATAGGGTCTCACTATGTCGCTCAGGTTGGTCTCAAACTCTTGGGCTCAAGTGATCCTTCGGCCTCAGCCTCCCCAAATTCAGGGATAATAGGTGTAAGCCACTGTGCCCAGCCTGAAGGGACTCATTTTGAAGTTTTTTCCAGTGTGCATACTCTATGGTGGATGAGTAAAATGATAGGCCAGCTCTGGGACATTTCTTACAAGTACACAGGTTGCCGAACCTCGGGAGATAAGAAACCCTCGGGACTACTGACATAAAATACATGAGCTGATAGTAAAAGTCAGAGCTTCTTATTAGCTGTGGCTGTAGACACTTAAGGAAGAAGGCACAATTAATCTGTTTTTACTCCTAAAGTGATGAGGACAGGAGAGAGAAGAGATACTTACCTACAATCTTTAGGAGAAAGAAGGTGAGTTTCAGGAATAGGCTGTTCATATGGATGGCTATTAAAACATGTTCCCTCCTCATCTCCTGATTGTCCATGGGAGCTCTAGAGTTTCTTTCTTTCTTTCTTTTTTTGAGACAGAGCCCCAAGTTGTCCTGCTGGGTAGAGTGCTATGGCATCACAGCTCACAGCAACCTCCAACTCCTGGGCTCAAGCGAGTCTCCTGCCTCAGCCTCCCAAGTAGCTGGGACCAAAGGTGCCCACCACAATGCCCTGCTATTTTTTTGGTTGCAGCCATCATTGTTGTTTGGCAGGCCCAGGCTGGATTTGACCCACCACCTTAGGTGTATGTGGCTAGCGCCTTAGCCACTTGAGCCACAGGCTCCGAGCTAGCTCTAGAGTTTCTACACGTTTGAAGGCCTTTGAGTCACCAGAGTAGAGGGAAGAGGCCATGGGTATCCATGCTAGCCTTGTCTGTGCATTGCCCACTTACATTGTCTAAGTATCCTACTGTTCATTATGTGAACTTATCTGTGAAATCATCAGATTAAAGATATATTTACAAATATATTTATACAGACCTTGCAATGTGTAAGGTATGTTCACTCTTATTGTCTCATTTGATTTGCAAATCCCTGAGTGATGTTGATGTTTCTTGTCTATGGACTACATGGAGTATCACGGCCCTAGGGCACAGACATGCTGTAGAAGTAAGAACACAAAAGAGAGAAACCTCATGGGCTTGAGCAGAGGCCAGAATGATGCAGGATGCTGGAATAAAACAAGGATCGTGGGCAGATGGAAGACACTTTGCGTCAGTAGAGAACCAGTAGGAATTAGGGGAGATGTATGGGAATTAGGGTGGTTGTAACACTCAGGGCAAAAGAAAGGCATGTATTATTATTATTTTTTAAAACCATTATATTAAAGGCAGAACCCCAAGCCTATGAATTTCCTTGAGCATTACTCTGATACTTCCCTCACCGTGTAATCTCTGTGACAAGACCACAGGTGTGCATGTCAGTCGGTGAGGGGGGATGGGAAAGGAACACTTCAGAGTATTTCAGTAAAGGCAGGGGCTGACCGGACACTTTCTTTTTTTGCATATGATTCCCCACCTTCATCCCTTAGAATGAGAGAAGAGGAGACACGAGATGTGTGTTCTGGATAATTTGGAAACTTTCTCAGAGAACAGCTGTTCAGTGTTAAGCCATTTCTCTGTTTTATACTGTGAAAAAAAAATTGGGAAATAAGGCAGAGTATCTGCATCCCCGGAGCTCAGCTGCAAAAATGTACGCCTTGGCCTGGTACATGTATTGCAGGAATATATTGGAAGCAAGAAGATATAAGCAAGTTCTTTTTGTTCTATTGTTTTGTTTTTGAGATACGGTCTTGCTCTGTTGCCTTGGCTAGAGTGCAGTGGCGTCATCATAGCTCACCACACACTCAAACTCTTGGGCTCAAGAGATTCTCCTGCCTCAAGTAGCTGAGACTACAGACATATGCCAACATGTCTGGTTAATTTTTCTATTTTTTTGTAGAGATGGGGTCTCCCTCTTGTTCAGGCTGTTCTCAAACTGCTGGTCTCAACCTATCATCTTCCAAAGTGCTAGGACTTGGGCTTCCAATGTACTAGGACTACAGGTGTGAACCACTGTGCCTGGCTTACATAAATAATTTCCTGAAGATCTAGGAAGTGAGGTAAATCCTGGGCTGGGAAGGCTGAGAACATGCTAAGCCAGACATCTAAACAGGAGAGTCCAGAGAGGGCTTGGCGAGTAGCCCAACACTAAAAAATCAGCCAGCCTTTTCAGAGGTACGGCCATCACTGGCCGTAGAGCAGGCAGGCCCAGGACGTGTCCCATCTCTGCTCCTTTCCAAGAAGAGCTGGGGGTGTGGGACAGGAAGTGCACCTGGGGCCTCCACGTGGAGAAAAGACAAACATTTGGGCTGCTGGCCTTGCCAACCTGGCAGCACAGGTGACTTACTTTGTACTCAAGACTTGGTGAAAGAAGCAGGCTTAGTTCAGAGGATGACCGAGGATTCAGAAGGCAGAAACAACTTTGGGAGGTCTGCCATGCTATCAGCTTACTGAAGTGTAAGGAGAATAAACGTCCCACCTAGAAATCAACTTAGGGTTAGATTCAAAATAGAACAAACACACAAATGAAAACTTAGTCCTAAAATGATGTTTAGTCCTAAAATATTGTAGCCACACTAGTACTACAATATGTGTTAAAAAGAAGTATGCAGTTTTTGTCTATCATCAGTGAAGTCTGGTAAATATTGGGGGTGATGTAGTCCTCGAGGAGGGCAACCTTCACTTCCTTTGCTCAAGAAACCTGTTTAACTCTGTTTAACTCAGCATGTGTGAAATCATATGATCCTTGGATGCTTACTTCACGTAATGCCTTTTAAACATCTCCCTGGAATTATTACTAATATTCTACTGAACACCCTTGGAAACCTTGATGTAGAAGATAATCATTGGCTCTAACAATAGACACCTCCTCTGTGAGACAGCGGTTCTCGACCTGTGGGTCCTGACCCCTTTGGGGGTCAAACAACCCTTTCACAGGGGTCACCTAAGATCATCCTGCATATTAGATATTTACATTACGATTTGTAACAGTAGCAAAATTACAGTTATGAAGTAGCAATGGAAATAATTTTATAGTTGGGGGTTACCGCAACATGAGGAACTGTATTAAAGGGTCTCGGCATTAGGAAGTTGAGAATCCTGGTCTAGGAAGCTCTGCAGGCAGGGACAGCCCTGGGCAAATGTGTCAAAAGCAAAATAGTATTTTCTTGTTCATGCACCTTTTTAAATTGATTTGCTTTAGGAAACCTCCCCCCAACTAGAGATTAATCTTAGTGCTTAGAGATTAGCACTAATCTCTAAAACCAGAGTGAAAGGTTGTAACCTTTGCTAAAGGAATTGTGGACAGGAGGGGTTGGCGAAGTCTATGGATGGCTCCTGAAATCTGTGGGTAGGTAGAGGCTTGCTGACTCCATATGGTCCGAATGCTGACTTTTTGGTTTTCATAACACGCAGTCAGTGTTTCCATAGCTGGAAATACCTGGGCTATGAGGAATTGGTGGCAAACTGGGCTTGTGCAGTTTCCTTTAGCTCTTCCTCTCTTGTCTCTACAGATGTCTCCAAGGAGAGTGGGCATAAAAAATCATTCCACAGTGACTGAGTTTCTTCTTTCAGGATTAACTGAACAGCCAGAACTTCAGCTGCCCCTTTTCTGGCTCTTCTTAGGAATTTATGTCGTTACTGTGATGGGAAACCTCGGCATGATGGCCATCATTGGGCTGAGTCCTCACCTTCATACCCCCATGTACTATCTCCTCAGCGGTCTATCTTTTGTAGATTTCTGCTATTCTTCTGTCATTACTCCCCAGATGCTGGCAGGGTTTTTATGCAGAGATAAATCTATCTCCTATTCTGGATGCATGACTCAGCTGTTCTTTTTCTGTGTTTTTGTCATTTCTGAATGCTACATGTTGGCAGCCATGGCCTATGATCGCTGTGTGGCCATCCGCAGCCCACTGCTCTACCATGTCGTCATGTCCCCCAGGGTCTGTTCTCTGCTGGTGGTTGCTGTCTTCTCAGTAGGTTTCACTGATGCTGTGATCCATGGAGGTTGTGTGTTAAGGTTGTCCTTCTGTGGATCGAACATCATCGAACATTATTTCTGTGACATCGTCCCTCTGATTAAGCTCTCCTGTTCCGGGACTTACATTGATGAGCTTTTGATTTTTGCCATTGGTGGATTTAACATGGTGGCCACCAGCCTCACGATCATCATTTCATATGCATGTATCTTGACCAGTGTCTTCCGCATCCGCTCTAAAGAGGGCAGGTCCAAAGCCTTTAGCACTTGCAGCTCCCACCTGACAGCTGTTCTTATATTTTATGGGTCTCTCATGTCCATGTATCTCAAACCTGCTTCCGGAAGTTCACTCACCCAGGAGAAAGTGTCCTCGGTATTTTACACCACTGTGATCCCCATGTTGAATCCCCTGATATACAGTCTGAGGAACAAGGAAGTGAAAAACGCATTGGTGAAACTTTTAAGGGGAAAAATAGCTTCATAATGAATATGCTCTTTATGAATATGTATTTATGTGTTCATAATTGTGGTTCGTGATTCAGTTAATATATACTAGATTGCTATATGCGTATTATATGTGCATATATTTAGTAATCTAAATAATACATAATAAAAATAATAAAATGTGAAACAGTACATACAAAAGTGAAAAGTAGCAAATATCTTAAATTTAATACCACTGAACATTAATTTTTTTAATCATTTTTTATTAAATTATAACTTTGTACATTGATGCATTTATGGGGTTCAGGGTACTGCTTCAATATACAATGCGAAATGCTTACATTGAACTAAGTAACACATCTGTCACAATTATACTCATTTCTTAATAGTTTTGAAATGTACCATTGCATCATGCACATTAGGTGAGATCCCCCCGAAGGCCCTCCCTCTTCCCACATCCCCCCTCCCCTGAACATTAATTTGTATCTTTAGTTCCCTGAATCCAGGCTAAGAAGAAAGACATTATTGTGGTATACTGCAGAGCAGCAGGAGGAAAAGCACACCGCATTTCAAAAAGACATTTCTGTTATGGAAATTCGTATAGAAAATATTGACCAGCGTGATGGAAATCATTACAATTTAACAATAAATGTGGAAGAATTTTTCTGGATTGTTTTTTATAAAGGGCTTATTAAAAGCCTAACTATTAAAGCGGAATTCAATGAAGAAGATTCAGCAAAGGGCTAAGCTGGTATGATCTCAGTATTGGGTATCTGATCATCCAAGAATAAGACCTACAGGATCTAGATGAAGAAATGGTATTTACGGTCCTATCCACACGTTATTATGGTTTTGTCAGCTCACAGTGTTTTACAACTTTCTGTTTGTTCCTTTGGAGTTGGTATTTTTCTCTCTTGGCTGGAAACTAGGTATCTTTGATTTCATCCATGTAATATGTTTTGAATTAACATAATGAAAAAGTTTGTGTTTTTTAAGAAGGAATTCTTACAGGATTGATCCAGATAATGTGCTGTGTGGGGAGCATGACCTGCTAGCTAATTGATTTCTTCAGCATATGCTTGTCATGAAAAGTGCCAGGTACTTTTCTAAGTGCTGGACTATTATGGTGAAGATGATAGACAACGTCTCTCTTTATTTTGAGGAATGGAGCAGAATTTACGGATATTGCAAGTAGTTTAATGTTGAAACTCAAAAACAGCTTTCACATCTGTCTGAGTTTCAACAAGGCTTAGTTCTTTGCTGAATCTTCTGTGCTGAATTCCACTTCAATATATTGGCTTTTTTTTTTTTTGAGACAGACCCTCAAGCTGTCCCCCTGGGTAGAGTGCCATGGTGTCACAGCTCACAGCAACTTCCAACTCCTGGGCTTAAGCAATTCTCTTGCTTTAGCCTCACAAGTAGCCAGGACCACAGGCACCCACCATGACACATGGCCATTTTTTGGCTGCAGCCATCATTGTTGTTTGGCAGGCCAGGGCTGGACCCGAACCCGCCAGCTTCGGTGTATGTGGCTGGCACTTGAGCTACAGGTGCTGAGCCAATGTATTGGTTTTTAATATGCTCTTTACAAGACACAATTAAGAAAGATTCTTCTACCTTTATTATAAAATTGCAATAATTTCCATCATACTGCTCAATATTTTCTAAGCAAATTTCCATAATATGATTATCAGTTACAATATTATCATAATTATAATGAATAAAATTATAACTACAGACATAAGAACTTTGGAAAAAAGTCATGAATTTTCAATGGGTCAAGAGCTACTCTCAATAGAGTTCTTTGAAGAACATTAAGATGAAATCTAAATGAAGAAAAGGGTATACTTGTGCAGAAACAGAAAGGCCAGAATAGGTACAGTGTGGCCAAGGCTGGCACAAACTTGGCCACATTCAAGAAACAAAGACGATAGTATGGCTGAAGCTTAGTGAAGAAGATAAAGGAGGTGCCAAAGAAGTCAGGATAAATAAGCAAACTCAAGATCATGTAGGATTTTTAATTTTATTCTAAGCACAACAGAAGTGATGGATAGGTTTCAAAAGTAGAGTGATGCAATCTATTTAACACTGGAGAAGTACCCCCTGGTTATTGATGAGAAAATAGATGTATGTGTGTATGTGTGTGTTTGTACGTGTGTTGGCTAGGGAAAGGTGGTGCTATTGGCCGGAGCAGAAACAGAGAGAATGCTTTTGAGGCTATTAGAATTATCTTGGTGAGAAATGATGTGTTTTTTCATTAGCGTAATAACAGAAAAGGGGGAGGGAAAAATGGATGAGTTCAAGATCCATTTCTGACATTGAATCAATAAGATTTGCTGCCGAGTGTGTGATGCTTCAGGATAATAAATTTTGATAAAGTTAAAATAGACATTTAGAAATAAGGAATATTAAGCAATAAAAGTGAGTCAAGACCAGTTGAAATAAAAATGCAAACAGACCATAAAAGCCTGAATAGTTGCAATGTCTGAACTTCATATCTGTTTGGGTTTCCAAGTAGCCAAAACAAATACAAAGATGGTAATAGAGTTAATTATACAATTCTCACTGTTATACAAAAGGAAGAATTCTATTTGTTGTAAGAAGCAATGTTTTCTTTGTTATAAAAAATTACTTCTAACTTCCTCCTCCTCCTCCTAAGAAATAAGAGCAATGGACACAGAAATTTATATGCGAGTTACTGAAAGATGCTATTGGATAGAGCTTTTGAAAGGAGGAGGAAAGCTGTGTTCTTACATAAAGTTTTTATTTTTCTTTGTTTTGTCTCCATCACGGAAAGTCACTCATGTTACTCATCAGTTAAGATGGGCTTAAGATATTTTCCTATCTAATTTTTCCGCACCCGTGTTTAAAGAGTCAGTTAAGCAAATTAAGAGAAAGAAGGCTAGAAACAGACTGAGCCAAGGTTCATACACAATGGCTGTCCTGCATTTGCTTTTTAAAAAAATTTTCTAAATATTAAGAGGGTTTGTTACGTGGATACCTTGCATAATACGCAAGTTAGGGCTGTTGATGTACCTTCCATCAGAATAGTGTTCACTATACCCAGCTGATAAGTTTGTATCCCTCACCCCTCCCCACCCTCTCCACTTCTTGGTTTCCAATTTTTTTATATCACTTTGTGTCATGTGTGCCTCTCATTTAACTCCCACTTATTACTGAGAACATGTACCCTTTTATGCACATCCATGGAGACATCACATCTATATTATGATACTCCCCAAAACTCAGATGTAGCCTCAAAATTCATTTTAACCCAGTACTCAAGGCTGTCACGATCATTTGAAGAGTGACAGGGAACTAATTTCCTTGTAGATTTTACATACAAGATGATAGAGTCAAATGGAGGGGCCTGCCCAAATAGAGGGGACCCAACCAAATAGAGCAAACCCACCCAAATAGAATGTGCCCACCCCCACCCTTCTGACAGATGTCCCACCCAGGAAAAGGAACATACCAACCCCCACCCTTCTGACCTTTAAAACCCCCATCCACCGTCACCCACATTCTTACTTCCTTCAAGCCTCCCAAGTAGCTGGGACCACAGGCGCCCGCCACAACACTTGGCTATCTTTTGGTTGCAGCCGTCATTGTTATTTGGCAGCCCAGGCTGGATTCGAACCTTCCACTTTAGGTGTATATGGCTGGCGCCTTAGCCACTTGAGCCACAGGCTTGGCGCCAAGCCAGACTCTGAGCTTTCACTGTGGCTATCTCTCTAGGCTCAGGGCAAGCAGGATGTGAGGCTAAGGTGGAGTTTGTAGTGTCCCAGGATGGAGAAAATTTTCTAGCAACTAAAGAAACTTGAGATGGTCTCCTATTTATTAGGTATAATTCTGCTATCAAAGACCAAGACAGCATAAAAAGCAAAATCTGAAAACTGATTTCACCAGTGAATATAGATGTGAAAGTCTTAAAACTAATACCAATAAGTCAAAGCAACAGCACATTGAAATCTCATCCTGAAAATTTACAATTACGGTAACTAAGGAATGTATCAAAATTTTAATTCATATACATTGATCCCATTAGAAAGTCTTGATAATCTCAATAGATGCCTTGTATTTTTCCAGTTCCTGGTTTGAGACAAAGCAATTGCAACCAAAACCCTTCAAAATCTTTAACAATTGAGTAATAAAAAGACTTTACCTCAGCAAGGAAAAAGCTATTGTTAAATTAAAATGAGAGATGCCAGACAAAGGTGTTTGCTATCACTATTCTTATTTAATATTTTCTGGATTTATAGCTAATTTTGAACAGGTAAAACAAGTATATTATTTAAAAATATGTAAAAGTAGGTCATACTGGTAAGGGAATTGACAGACTCATCAATGCAATAAAATCAACATTCTTGAAACAAATCTTTATATATACAGAAAAACTTAGTATATGATTTATAAAAATCGTGTGGTAAAGGGCTAATTTACACAAAAAGAAGACCTCAGAAATTTAGTTTTTTTAAATAAAAGGTTAGCTTTTGACTTAAGAAAATCCCAGATTATTTAAGATTTAAATGAAAAATTTAAAAAAAAGGAAAAAAATTTTTAAAAATCTAGGTGATAGAATATAGATAGTAGGATGGATAAGGCATTTCTAAACATACAAAACAAATTATGGAATAGTATTTAAAAGCAAAAAGAGGCTGGGTATGTGTAACTCAGTGGCTAGGGCGCCAGCCACATACACCAGAGCTGGCGGGTTCAAATCCAGTCCAGGCCTACCAAACAACAATGACAACTACACCCAAAAAACAGCTGGGCATTGAGGCAGGTGCCTGTAGTCCCAACTGCTTGGGAGGCTGAGGCAAGAGAATCACTTAAGCCCAAGAGTTTGAGGTTGCTGTGAGCTGTGATGTCACAGCACTCTACCCAGGGTGATAGCTTGAGACTCTGTCTCAAAAATAAATAAATAGCATTCAAGAACCACTCTTTTTGCTAACAGTTAAGAACGTAACAATATTTGTAAATTGCAAGTATAGCTATCAACACAATATATTTAATAAGTGTACATATAGCAGTTTATAA